TTATCATGTACTACTGTACTACTGTTTAATTAAACATTTCTAAATTCATCAAATATCACAGGTAACTTATTAATTGCTCTTGTAGAAACATAATTGCCGACAGCTATTTCTATTTTAGTTTTTAAATGTCTTATAAAAAGAGAAAACAAATTGATTATTGAAATTTGATTTTGTTGTTTTAGACTAGTCATGCCTCAGATAATGGACGTAAAAAAGAATTTATTTAAACCAAAGAGGACACCTTTAAAAACCATGTTATTTTTTAAATGTTGTAATGTAACGAAAGTCGAAGACAAAACATGGATAATTTGCCACATGTCAAGCATTTGAAATCATCTAAGGTATTGTTCCAGTAAATGTAAGGATAGATTTATCTTAGACTTGCTGTTTCCCGCAACTTCGTCCACGTGGAATTAAAAGTAGTAAAAAACATAATGTTATTAGCAATGTAGATTTAATTTCTTTTAAAAAACAAATGGCTTTATGGCTACAGACGCTACTTGTGAAGTTATATAAACTAAATATGTCCTTAGTAGACAAAAGTGTTCCGTGTGACCACAACTAAATGGACCTATGTAATTTATAGCCAATTTGTACCTGTCCTGTGTCAGATCCGGGTGCGTGAAAACACTTTTTCCTTTTGTTACGACATTTTTCCATTTACAATGGAAGCATTGTGCAATTTTTCGTAGAAATATAATAAAAATATACTCAGCTCATTTCTATGAATGTCCCAATATACAGTTCTTTTTTTACATGTCTCTAAAAGTAAAGTTGCCTGTACTAAACGCTTTCAAAACGTGTTTAACATTCCTATATTAATGTTCTTTACATTTACGTAACGTGGTAAAACGAAAAGCATTATAAACGCTTATTGAGACAGTTTAGCATAGGCCCTGTGGCGCAATGGATAACGCGTCTGACTACGGATCAGAAGATTCCAGGTTCGAATCCTGGCAGGGTCGCAAAATTTATTTTTATTTTTTAAACCTCTTGCTATCGTGAAACTACGGTTTTTTTATATTTATTTTTTATAAAGTGAATTTAGTCGCATTACATTAATTATTGAACTAGAATTTTATAAAGATTAAAAAAAATCAAAAGTATCACAAATTGTGAAATATGAAAAGGATTAAAAAGCGAAGAATTATTACAGCCTTAACTCGGCTACAAAGACAGATTAGATAAATAAAAATCTTCGAAAATTATGAAAAGATAAATTGCACCAAAACTTGGCTAATTTCCAAGAAACGTCAAAGTCCATTAATCTTTGAAACAAAATTTAAGTATTTATCGTAATTTGATATTCTCTGAAGTATAAGACGTCTTGATTATTTTGTTCCCCTTTGTAACAATTTAAACAAAAATCAAGTAAAAACGGAATTTATTACATTTAAATTAAAATTATCCTTCAACTCAATCGATAGAATGACCTTAGCCATCAGTAATTAAATTGTTTCAGTTTAGAGAATTCGTCGTCACAAAATTTCATTAAAAGGGATCGTCCCCTTTCACTTCGACTTTGTTCAAACATCTGTCCCTATTTTCTATTTGGAAATCTGCTCATTGTTTGACCATTTTCTTTATATAGACGTTTCATCCTTCATTATTGGAAAGACCTTAAAAATAAACTGAAAAGAGCCCACATGTACCCTAGAACATAGTTAATATTCTAAATTTTAATATTAGGTGCCATGACATAGAGGTCGCATACTAGAAGGGTAATTATTGGTCGTTAGGGCCCGCATGCATTTAGCGATAATCCTTACCTTTCATTACTACGGTATAGTCAAACTATGTCCCCGAATAACGCTTGCATCGACCGATCATTTTTAATAGTCGTTAGGCGGAATGCGAAGACTCCCCCAAGCTAACTGAAGTTATCGCCTAGTGAAATTACATCCTTATTGCAACCCTTTAATGTAGGTTTCTAAATCTACAGTAATGGTCTCAGAGTGATAAAAACGTCCTTTGTATGTAATAATAGTCAGTATCTTTTTATAATTGTTACGAACTGCCAATCAATCAGTCTTCAATTACATCAGCTGTGTAAGATTTATGAGGTGGGAATAACATAGCGGCAAACAGTAGGGGCAGGTGTGGGATGCCGCGCTTCATAGCACATCAAAAGGCTCATTCGCTTCAATACATCCAGGCTATCGATGCCTATATTCTATCAAATTCAATGATGTATCAAAAAGAAATACCACAACATTCAGAGAAACGTAAATACTTTATTTGTACGTTTTCTTTTATATATAGCATAGCATACACTACACTTTCATAAGATGAAATGTCGTCTAAGTTCCTAACTAGTATGAGTAAAAGGTTTGTAATTTTATATGTATTTAAAATATCACTTTGTTAGTCTATCAAATTAAACAAAAACATTTTTTCTCTTTACTTATTTTGCTAAATTTTATATTCATCATCATCATCTCCTTATCCTACTCCCGTAGGGTCGGCGCAACAGGTTTTTGTCCTCCACATAACTCTATCATACGTCATCTCAGTCATCACTCCCTTTTTGATCATGTCACCTTTTACACAATCCATCCATCTCTTTCTAGGTCTACCTCTACCGATGTACCCTTCCACACTCATAACTAACGTTCTCCTTGTAACATGCGATTCATCCCTCCTCATAACATGCCCATACCATGCTAACCTTTTACTCCTAACCTTCTCTATTATGGGGGCTACTCTCAAACTTCCTCTATATTCTAAATTTTATATTCGTTAATACTAAATTGCTAAGCTAGGAAACTAATTTAAAAGTCTTTCTCTCGAGTTCCCGTCGTTCGAGCACGAAACTAGATTCGTTTCGTTTTAAACTTAAAAACTGTATTTTTGCAGTAGCGTCTGAGTGCTCATTCAAGAGGCAAACTTTCAAATGGTTCAGTACTCGTGAAAAGCACAAATTAATTAGATTTGAAAATTCCAGTTGTACGTAAAATGATTTACTTTGAAACATTATAATCTATTTAATATGCATTTAAAACAGTTGTTAATATCAAATTATTGTTTCGTTTTTCTAAATAAAAATTGTTAAACTTTAAATTCTTTTAGTCTGAAAGTTTTTTTATTCAAGGAAAGTAAACATTGTTTCAGCCGACATGAACAATCAAACAAAAAGTTTTCGGCGAAAAGATTTTTCTCTCTGTGTATTTATAATTCTCTAGCGGTTTTAACCACGAAATTGCGTAGCCGCGTATTTCACGTAAATTTTACATTATGTATTGTTCTTTATAAAACATATACTGCATTGTTGTAAGAATTCTGAATATTGAGTTCATTATATTGATATAAGACATCAATGTTGTTTCCAAAGTTTATGCAACGATGCATTGATTGCATGGTTGATTACTATTAATACAAATAAAAACGCATGAAATACGTGATTTTTTCATACAGAACGAAAATGATTATAGATATACCCAATATTTTAGAATCACTTTGATGATAAGAGACAGATTGAAAGTCCATTTCGGGATAGGTTTTATGCATTTTCATATTTTGTTCATTTTACAGTGAATAAACAAATCCTTTACAATTGGAATCGTATACCAGATGATGTTACGTGATGTTATTACAGAGGACTGTCATAAAATAAACAAAAACATACAATTTGTAACATAATTTATTGAAAATAATAAACTTCTCTTTCCTTTTATTTCTAATTCCGTAATCCAAAATATTTTAATTTTAGCATAACTACAATTAAATTAACAACAATTGTTGTTACGTGTATACTAAAAGCGCTTACTTTAATACAAAATTCAGCTCTCATTAATAGACAGGAATTAATTCTTTACATTCTCATACAAAGTAATCAATTTAAATATTCATATATACAAGTAGCGTAAATAAAAATTATAAACTGATTATTGTTAATCAAACTTACAGTCCCAACTTTTATTGCCGTACTCAGAATTCTTTTTGAGATTTAATTCCTTAACGATCAATTGACGGTTCTCTGTGAGTCAATCTAGCCGTGTCTACACGTTAAAATTTTACGCCAAACTAAAATAATTTTTTCTCCTCCGTACTAATTTAGTCTTTGTTTCTAGTTTTCAAAATTATTATTAGACAAATTGCTAAAATTAAACGATTCAAGTTGTATCTATACTTAGCTTCAAGCAAAAATGTACCTCAAAAATTATTATTTTGTATATCTATGAACTTACATTAAAATAATTGAGAAATTGTCTGAAATAATAATTTACGTTAGAAATCGATATCAATAGTACATTGGGATTTAATTATTTAAGTGCTTTTAATTACAAGTGCTCATAATAGGCTAAAAGCTTTTTATATGAAGCTTTAAATAATCGATTATTCGTTATTTTTGCCCAACGTATATTTTTAACCAGTGCTTCGACTTAATAACTCTAACATTAACCTAAATTTTACAGGTCCCTAATACTCGACCGCTTTAAAGCAGGATCAAACAAATAATTCAGCGTGTATTACCAACAAATTATCATAATACTAGCTGTCGCCCGCGACTCCGTCCGCGTAGATTAAAAAAAAGTAGCCTATATGTTGTTTCAGAGTATACTTTACATCTATGCCAAAATTCATCGTGATCCGTTGAGTAGTTTAGGCTACAAACTCTAACAAACATTCATCCAACCATCCAACCATTTAAACATTCGCATTTATAATTTTAGTAAGATATATAATTGCCGTTTATGTTTATTGGCACTTGTTTTAACATTATTTTATCTAAATTATATTTACAAGCGTCTATTGATTGTCGATTACGAAGGGATGTGAAACCCAAAGGAACTCCATAATGAAGTTATGTACTTCTAGCTGTTTATGGTATTTTAACGGGTTCTTTTGAGAGTTAATTTGTAAGTAGCTGAGAATGAAACATCCTAAGAATTATTAATTATATTTTAATATCACTTTTGGCGTAACTTTCGTCAATTTTATATGACTAGTAATTTGTGCATTTATTAAAATGCTTAAATATCTATTTACCATGACTTATAACAAAGCCTGATGATGATGATGACTTATAACTTAATCGTACTTAATTTATTAGTTAGTTAAGAAAGTTACCGGAATATACAAAAATTCCATTCATAGCTTAAATGAAATTATAAGGCACTGCCTTATACAATTACTAGCTCATTACATAAGAGAATAGCTATTACAATACATCTTGGCTTATGTCCTTTGAATGTAATGAAATCTTTTATTTAAAAGACATAGTAATTAAGATGTATACATTTTTTTAATTGACCTTATCTGGCGGTGATGAAACGTCTCAACATCATTATTATAATGTAAACCAGTAGTCAAAGCAACAAGCAATATTTTATGCACCTATCTATATTAAGAGTACAATTATTTACATATTAAGTTACACTATTCAATATTCCATGTATAAGTCTCGTAATAGTCAACAATAAATATGGACGATTAACTACATCGGTCTCAAAGTGTTGTTCAATTCCGATTTAATTTACATTGGTTCGTATAATAAAAGTTGGCAAGCTCTTTCAAAAATTTACAAAGTTCCTTTTTTTCCGAAAGCGCTATTTTAAAGGAACGTGTCTAGCTTTTAAATTTTTAAAATCAACGGCACGCAAAGGCTATAGAGGTGTTTCTTCACCGGACTCACATTGCGGCAATCTTATAACTCTAGGTCCGGCTAACACTCCGATACCATCCAAACAAGACCTTCTATTTGCAATTACGTCCCTTAAAAATGCTCTCCGAGGTCCCGCTAAGTCCGTCCCAGTTATCGATCTAGTAATTCTTCGTAAAGCGGGTAATTTTAATGCCTCCTCATAAGGCGGAGGTTCCTCGGTAGGTGTTGTTTGTGCTCGACCTCCAAATGGATCCCGCGAGCAAGTGGGAGACAATTCTCTTGAATAGTATAATGTATTCTCTCCGTCTCTTCTCACTTGTTGTTCTGATATCAATTGGTAATTAGGTGAAGTGTTGTTTGTAAAATCATCTAATATTTGCCTCGCACTCCTAGCTGTTGTTAACACTCCTGCCCATGATCGCCTATTTTGTTTGATATCAAAAGATCTAGTACTTCCAACGATGTTACTGCTTGAATGAGTACTTGCTATTAGTACTTTGGGTCTTCGAGGAGGTTCATCAAACGATGCCGCTTTTACTGTTGGCCTGTTGTGTCTGTTTTCTGATTCTATATCGATTAGAACAGGATTATTGGTGTTTTCAGTTGGTTCTTCTCTAAGAGCAGCATCAATACGCATAGCCTCTGAATAAGAAGGTACTAAGGCACAGTTACCTCGAATCGCGGCGAATAATTCAAGACTATCGACAGTAGACGCGTGAGATAGAGGAAGTGTGCGAGGTGGTCGTGGTGCTGAAGAGAGTACAGCGCTTTGCTCATCAGCGAGATTCCAAGCGTAATTCGTTGCTGGTACAGGAGGCAGTGTATCCGATAGGTGTGTATCCAAATCAAGCTGTCGACTCGGATCTAATTCATAGTTTGTACCAAAAATTTTCGTGATCTGAAAGAAAATAAAAGTTAAATTCTGTTCGTTCATCTGCTAGTTCTAAATGGAAATTGAAAATATAATTTACATATATATTATAAATTACCGTATAATGAACGTAAGCTGTATTACATTCAATAACAATTCGTAGAGGCCATGATAGAAGCAAACAAGACAATGTCCAAAATAGTATCTGTGAGGAATACCATGGACATCGATCTGCTTCTCTGTAAACGATGAATACATTTTAAAATACACACGGAAAAATATTTTTAATACTAATTTTTGAATTTGTTATTGAGAAGAAGCATACCTGTAAGCTACCATGTATTCCTTAAAAGAACTGACACCTATCAGATCCAAGCCCTCCCGCATTTCCATGAAGTCATCGAAACGTTCATGTTCCGCGAAAAATCTTGATCTTTGATCTTCAAATTCTAAAACACAAAACAAGTTATACCACATGAAAAATAGAGAATAAATAACAACACTTTAAATCATACTACATAGTAAAATTATAAATGCGAGTTTACATGGATGGATGGATGTTTGAGAGTTTGTAGCCTAATCGGATGAACCGATTTTGATCAAATTTGGTACAGATGTAGAGGGTAGCGGACGGAGTCGCGGGCGAAAGCTAGTAGATATATAAGAGTTAGATCGAATCTATGCGTGTTAATTATATTTAGAAAATTTTCACTTTTTAAAGAAGCGTCTAACAGAACATTTGAATCATAATGTCCGCCCTTTGTGACGAAAAATTGAATTGATCATTTTCCTAACTTGTAGAATATTTCCTTTTTCGTTAGACTTACCGCTAGCAGCCTCGATATTAGCGAAAGCAAATCCTTTACTGAATCTGACTTTAGTAATTGGTGTTTTTGAGTCCAGCACCAAGTTCCTGGAGGCATCTCTTTGACCGCAGCACGCGTGTGCGAACGACGTGCTCGCACTGTGCGTGTTCACTCGCTCATAGTATACCTAGTATAGAAGACTAACTTTACTTACAAAATGAATAATATCTATACTATGAATGATTATAGTAGACAGTAATTCATAATTGAACTTAACACATTGATAAGTTTTTTTTTTATAT